CGTCACTTGTTCCTGACCATAGATGGTTCTACTTCGGGTCCTAGAGAATACTCCGGACCTATTGGAAAACAGTTAGTTGCTTATGAAAACAGCCCCACCGTGACTTTTTCTGGTATGAATGGTAATTTGCCTGACTTGCCAAAAAATGTAGTCAATGAATTAAGTACAGATCAAAAATATCTATATGAAATATGTCAAGCAGTATTAACCGGTTTCTGTACTCCTGAATTGGCAAACCGTCAACCTGGAAAAATGGCGCACTCCAGATGGCTTACTACTGCTAATCGTCTACTCAGACTTTATGTAAGTACGCTTAATCCATCAGAAAATTTACAATTGCTTGTAAACTATGTTGTTAAAGTATATGCTCCGATGTGGTTCAGTATTAAGCAAAAATCGTCTTTTAAGGATGGAGCAAAGCATATTTTTCAACTAATTATGTACTCTCGATTTCTACCCGAAAATCTAAGATCTGTTGTGGATACCGTTATCGAAAGAAATGCCTTTTTTGCCCACCCAGAAAACTTACTTGTGAGTATGTTGTTTGATGATAGAGATCACATTAGGGAGCTGGCATGGCGAAGAATAAAAAAAGCTAGAGACACTGAAAGTAACGATAAACGCAGAATATTTAAAACACCAAAAATTAACTTCTCTGCTAAAGATTACACCGATATTATTATGTGGCACGAATGTCAGGTTACAACACCGCCGGTTCTTCGGCATATTTCTACTGAGGACCTTCACATCATGGTAAAAGATAAAAGCTTGGATATTTTTGACTTTCCCTGCCACACACAATCTGTGGAAAGATGTGTTAAACTGATTACAGAAGCCTCGCAGAACGTAACTGATGCTACTTCTAGAGATAGCTTTATCAGAACCAGGTTGCAGTCTCGGGCAGAAATGCCAAATTTTGGACACAAAAATAAGTTCAAATTTTAAGTTTTTGTCATCAAATATAGGATCTATTTTGTTTGTTAAGTTGTTTTGAACCTTTTTCATTAATTTTAATAATAAAATATCTTTTAAATTTAATTTGTGTATTATTTGAAGTATATGATTTAGGTCTGTACAAACGTAAAATTTACAAAACTTTAAAGTCTAGTAGAGCCCTGAAGGTGACGTGCTATCGTATTTATTTTACTTTTTTTATAATCTCTGGAAAATTACGCAAATTTGGATACGTCTTGCGATAGTGTAGCTCAAAAAGAAATTTTTTTATGCAAAGACGGGACACCCTATTGTACGTACAGGTCTGTAGCTTGAAAAATATAGAAGTTATTACAATTGCTTATAAGTAAAAAACATACTTACCCCTTTTTCAAATGTTTATTTTGTAAATAATTTCGATGAAAACGCAATATGCATTTAACTTCTGGGATAGTTAAGAAGTCTTAAAGAAACCTACAAAATTTGCTAACTGTGTCTAGCATCATTAATAGAGCAAGTTCAATAGTTTAAATATTTATCCTCAGTGATAAATACATTAAATAACTTTTAAACTATTTGACCGATCGGGGGGAAATTTCACACAAATTTAAAAGACGGTAATTCCTCGATGTTCAAATTTATTAATAGGATTTTATTTAATTAATAACAAAATTAATAAATAAGTGCAAGAAAAAACTATCAATTTTAATTTAAAAAACGGGAAAATAAAGATATTCTTGATATAAAAAATTATATAAATATTGCTTATGCAAAATATATGAGAAAATACTTATAGACAACAAATCAAGTTGTGACCATAACTATTGTTAAAAAAAAACGCAAGGTAGGGGAAGGACGGGGAAGATGACGCAGCGTCTAAGATGATGCACCTCTGTATTTTATCAAGTACTTCACTAAATTCAGTTTTTATACCCGTGGCGCCCTCCTTTAGAAACTACTATTACTTTAAAACTTCATCGGTCAGCTTTCGTACTGTTTAGTATCTGTGAGGCAGAGTAACGCGATACACATTCATTTCTTGTTATTTTTGACACTGCGAATATTAATGGTAAGTTGTTTAAAAATGGTTCCATTGGATTTTCTTCATATTCATGGGAGTAGGTGATATTTATTTTCAGTTAGCGAGGATTTATCTGTTAAATATTTGATGATGGATAATTTTAATAACCATTTTTTGTAGGTTATGCTGAACAGGCTAAGTTTACGCAGACTGCTTCATCTTTGCTGTTATAGTGCGTTATCTTTGCCTTTTCAGTTCATTACCTTAAATAACAATGGAGTATAGAATATTTATTATTTAGTGTCTATTTTGCATTTTGTGGCATCTTTTTCTTTTTTAGAAATGGGAAAATATATACGAAAAACACAGAGAGGATCATTTTCTGCAGCAGCTCTTAATGCAGCATTGAATGCAATTTGTAGAGATGGTCGTAAAATTCAGGAAGTGGCAAGGGCATTTTCAATACCAGAAGCTACATTGAGGAGAAAACTTAAGGTTAAAAATTTATTAACGGAAGTCAAATCAGAGTCTCTTGGTAGAGCCCCATTGTTTTCGGCACATCATGAAAAGGAGATACTAGATCATGTTCTCAAGCTGGCCAATTTATTTTTTGGTATCACTTGCATAGAGCTGAGAACCATGGCATTTGCTTATGCAGAACGCAATGAAATTAAACACAATTTTAATAAGAATAAACAAATGGCTGGAAAAGACTGGTATCTAGGATTTATAAAACGAAATCCTCAAATTTCCTTGAGAAAGCCAGAAGCTACAAGCATTAATAGAATAACAGCCTTCAATAAAATAGAAGTAGACCGCTTTTTTAAAAATTTGGAAACAGTGCAAGAAAAATATAAATTTCTGCCAGATCGCATTTACAATGTTGATGAAACCGGTATATCTACGGTTCCTAAAGAATCATGTAAAAGACTTGGACCCAAAGGAGTAAAGCAGTTTGGAATCATTTCTTCGTGGGAACGAGGGAAGAATATCACGGTAATAATGGCGTTCAGTGCCTCCGGTAACTACATACCCCTATTATTTATATTTCCCAGGAAGAGGATGAGCCCACAGCTTCAGAAAAATGGACCAAGCGGTGCGATTTACAACTGCACGGATAATGGATGGAGTAATACGTCTATGTTTTTATTATGGCTGAAGCATTTAAAAAAAAGTCCTGTCTAGTCCAGATAATCCCGTGCTGTTAGTATTAGATAATCACTCGAGCCATATTTCACTGGATATTTATAATTACTGCAAAGAGAATGGGATTATAATGGTTAGTATTCCACCCCACACATCCCACAAATTACAACCTCTTGATGTGTCATTTTTTTCTGCATTAAAATATGCGTATGGTCGCCATTGCAATTCCTTTCTAAAATCTAAGATCAGCAACTCAGAGTTTGAAGATAAAATTACTCCATATGATGTCGCCGAGATTTTTAAGTTAGCATATGATCAGGTGGCAAATATTGATAAGGCCGTTTCTGGTTTCGGAACGTGCGGAATTTTTCTGTTAAACTCTGATAAGTTCACAGAAGCTGATAATTTAAACAATGATAGCTTGGATAGAGATGTTTCTCCTGAACCTGCACCTCAGGGAACACTTCCACTAATAACAACACCATCTATAAGAGAACCAGAATTACCACGTCCATCAACCAGCCGACAGTCTCCTGAAAGTCGTCACACAACCCCCACAAAACAAATAAATGAAATAACCAAACGTCCACATATTTCTCTTTCACTTATTTCTCCAGTTCCTTTGCCCAATAAAAAAATTAAAAGAAAATATGGACGACAAAAGCAACATTCTGAAATTCTAACAAGCACCTCTTTAAAAGAATTCTTAGAAGAAAAAGAGAATAAAAAAAAGAAAAACTGGCGAAGTCGGAAGAAGGAAAGAAAAAAGTAACCAGACAAGTATTGGTTAATGATGCAGGATTAAAACTAAATAAAAATAAAGGGAAAGTCAAAGTACAAAAAATAATCAAACAAAAAATAAACAAAAAAATCTTGGAGGATAGCGATACTGAAGAAAGCGATTTTGATGAAGAAGGTCTTTGCAATGACGATGAGTTGGATGACATAATCAACGAGGGAGGTGAAACATATCTGCATATTATGTGGAGACTTCGGCAAAAAGACGGAAACATGGTTCAGATGCACAAGTTGTGGACAATGGGTGCATAAAGAATGCAGTGGAGCCAAAAGTCCCGAAAACTACATTTGTGACTTTTGTTAATATGTTAAAAAAGCTTTGTTTACATTTTCTTACTTTCAGTATTAAAAACAAATTTTCTTTTCATATCACTTGCGCTTTTAATATAGATACCTACATGCGCCATCTTCACCATCACTGTGCGTCATCTTTCCCTCGGTGGAAGGTAAGATGGCGCAAAAGCGTTTTTTAAAAAAGCCGCATAAAAAATACTTCCTTTTATTGAATTTAAAAATAATCCTAGAAATTGGTTATAGAAATGTCCAAATTACAGGCTCGTAGCATTCAAAGTTAGCTTAAATATTTTTTACCCTTAAATAAAATGTATTTTGCTTAGGTGCGTCATCTTCGACGTCCTTCCCCTAAACATACGAGTACTTTTTTATCTATTCGTTATCTAGTAACTCCCACCTATGATTTAAAAGTTTCAGATATCTGCGAAAAATTGTTTGACCTTTTTTTTAACCAGACTGGGCTACATCTCTTATGCAGCTCTTCAATAGGGAATTGTATTTATTCTCTTTGCGCGTTCGAACTCTACGCATTCCACTACGTATGTTGGCTTATGTAATTCGGTTAGATGTCTTCGATGCGACATTATCGATATGCAAAAATAAACTGAATACTGAATTCGCTTTGCATGTATCAGTTCTACCTCTTGTCTATCATGTTCCGAACATATCATAGGTAACAAATTTAATTTTCAAATCAAGAAGTTTTTATTTTGTATTTAACTTAAAAACCTCAGACTAGGTAATAAAGTCATGGAACTAATAAAATTAAAAGTACTTTAATGATTCAGTTTGATACAAAAAAACTTACTTTGTGATCGAGTTCAAAGTTTGGAGGTAAACTATGCCATCCAGAATTATCATCCATCGAAAATAACCTTAACTGTTGCCGAATATTAGCCTTCTCCCTAAAATAAAATATTAAAAATGTTAGAACTGATATCATATAGTAATAATTTCAAATGGACCTCTTACACCACACTTAAACTTAACTTCTTTTCGGCCTGTTCTAAATTGCTGATCAGTCTTTTTGATCGATTTTAAATAACTTCTTAACAAGAAAATATAAGGCATAGCCGATATAAAAAGTTGTTTCTATAAACTTCACTAGCCAGTCTTCCTCACGATGTCACGTATCCGTTGAGGTCACGTGAAAAAGTCAATCTTCTTGTGGTGCCATACAAAAATTGGGAGTAGCATATTCCTGCGCACAATTGTGGTATGGACTCCTTAGTAAGAGTATACTGATGTACGGAATCTACAGTTAACGTGGATGCGATTGCCTTCCGAGAAACGACCTTGGTAAATGCAGTGATTATCCGATGTTATTAATATGCACCTAGTCATTATCTCAGTAAGATTGAGGTGAAGTTACTTTAGATTGAAATCACAAAAATGCTCAAAGATTTAAAATATTAAGTAAAATGTTAATTTAATAGAACTATTGTAAAAATAATTAAAAAGGTAATGATATATACCTTGCTCTCTTCTTCTGAAATTCTTCTTCAACTTTCTGCATGGCCTCTAATTCTCTTATTCTTTTTCTCTCTCGCTTTTCGGCTTCCCTTGACAATTTGTCTGATAACCGTTTCTTTTCTATCTGCCGTATTGTACTTTGAAAGGTATACTTTTTAGGTTTTCTTTTAATTTTCCAGGATGAGTCATCGTGGCTAATGGGAGGATCTTGGAGCTCCTGTGGATGATGCTTTTCTAATTCTAGTCCGATATCTTCACAAGATTTTGAATATTGGGAATATTTGTAGTTTTTCATAGGGCGTTGGTATCGGTCATTGTTAAAATCAAGATCTATTTCAGGTAAATATATGATTCTAGCTGATGCATTGGCATGGGAGGGGTATGGCTGATCCTCAGTGTCTTGCATTCGATGTCTTTCCAAAGAATGGAACGTGTGAGTTAAGGAATTTGGAGCAGATTTGCTCAAAAACCAATTGGCACTTTTTTCATCTAGCACGTTGGATTCAAGAAATTCTTTTTTGTTTGATAAATTACCCAGGACTCCTGTTAAGGACTTTTTAAACTTTTGCAAACCACTATAATGGGGTATATTGTTCTTTTCAACCATATACGACGCTAGACGGTTATCTCTGGGTAAGGATAAGCTAAAAGTATGGGGACCATCACGTGGCCTTATTGTTTGTAACAACTTTTCATTCTGAAGATCTTCATCTATACTAGAATCATCTCCCAAATCTTGTTGAGGGGTCCAGGAGATCCTCTCCGGTTTGTTTAAGTATTTTATCTAAAATATAGAATTACATAATTTAAAATTATTTAGATTTAGATTATAATTAATAATATTTTTATATATTTTTAACTTACGGGAATTTTATTTTTTTGCATTGCCGTATTGGTATCGTTGGCAGAGGTAACATCGTCGTAGCAATAAGCAATAGGTATCACAGCATCTCCATCATCTCCAGATATCCCAGAATCTCCAGATTTATCATTACTAAATCTAGAAACAACCCATCAATTTATTATATGTAGACTATAAATACAGTATCTTTTATATAATAATGATAACTATAACATTACAAACATATTACCGTCTTTAAGAAGCACTTGAAGTGAAAAAAAAAAATAAATAAAGAAAACTGATATAATATCAAAAAAGAAGACATCATGCCATAGAAGTTGAGGCTTAGGCTGTGGTCAGATATTAAGATATTAAAGATTCATAAAAAATCTCGAAAGAATATTTATTATAAGTTACGTAAATTGCTTACCCACTTTAATTAATACAATTAGAAACTAGAGCACACGTGTCTATTGTTAACATGTGTGTCTTATTTCATAATACTTCTGCTACACTTTAAGTCACCCTTATATACTCAGCACTTTTGTACATATTATTTGGCGAGCGAGAGCAATGGCGAATATTTTACAGGTATGACAAATTAATCGTTTGGGATAAAGGTACATTGGCCCACAAGAGGTCATTACAGCAGAGGATAGGACTTTGATAGAAGATATTCCCAATTAACTGCTGCGGACGAACTAAATGCATGTCTAACATCATCCAATTTGTGGCACATGTAAAGACGCTCTCATTGACAAATAACATGCAAGTGTTTTTGCAATAAAATCAAAGGTCAATTGTATTTTTGATTCAGTTATGAGATATTGGAAATGGTAAAGTCGCTATTGACACCTCGATCGGATTTATTTCATTACCCAGAGATTTCTATTACTTAACAGACTCTAAAGAGGAGCTTATTAAACTATGATACATTATTTAGTTTTAAGGCAAAATTCGGTGGATCAGCTTGTTTTTAATATATTTGTATGTTATTTAATGCCACCACCTTTTTTGTACAAACACATCGAGAAAATTATTACAATCATACCATCTAGGGAAATAATGTTTAACATTAATGGATATCAGATATGGTTCACTGGGACCGAAATTGTATGTGGAACTGGACCAGGCAGACAACTATTTTCAGCTAATGCTACAGTTTAGAACAAGACTTTACGATGTTCATAAAGTATTTATACTGATATACTACATCGATGAAATCATGAAAAGAGCCACAGAAGAAAAGATAAATATCTTCACTGACAGTCAAGCAACCATATTAGCGGAAAAAAACCACTTAACCAATCAAAAATCGTAAAAATAATTGAAATCTAGTTCATCAATTGAAACGAGGTAATAAAGTGTCTCGTAACAATATTGACAAGACGCTTTCGACCCTTCTAATTAGTTTTAACAGACGAGAGCTAAAGGCGGTGACAGTGGATACTGTAAACTAAGCAAATAGCTCTACAATATAGGTCAAACAAAGGAACCATGATCAAATATTGATACAGTAGTTATCCTTAAAATTCCGATAAGAAAGTTCTTGATGTAATCAAAACCTGGTTACTTCTTCTTGGTGAAGTTTAATGAATGGTTTTGGTATAAAGGTTTCACAATTAATTGCCAAAATAAGTAGTGTCTCGTTTGATTTTGGACGAAAAAGGAGAAGAAGAAAAATAACTTCAGAAACGACGACAAATTGGATAATACTGATAAATATGACATATAACATCTACATTTTGAATAGGACTTAATAAAAAATTGATACAATTTTGTTATTAAAAAGGTAAAAAAGAAATAATTAGACTTACTCACAATCAATTTAATTTTACTACCTCAGACGACCGGTTTCGCTTTCTAAAATTTGCAAAGCATCATCATGTCGGTGGTACAAAGTAAATTAAATGATTCCGGTACAAGAATTACTATAGTGATTGGTGATTCATAGTTCAACCTTTCCTTTATTACTAATAATAACTGATCTTCGGTCAAAGTTGTAACTGTCTAACATCTTAGGAGGAAGTTTCTTGAGGGGATGGGTGTTAACAGATGATGTAGGAGTACGGTATATGTTATTGTTTGTTAAAAGAAAATGTGATGTTTTATATTATTTAAAATATTATAGTTATTTATATTTATTGAAGAGATATATTTTGAAATGTGTGTTAAATTATTGAAATTTTTTTATAAAGAAAGAGGACAGTTATATGACGATGAATGGAAGTACTTGTACTGTTTTGTGGGTGTGCAATTTCCTTGACTTGTAATTATAAACTTTTGATTGAAAAGCATTTAATTTCTGCTGGGAAGAGAATTGTGATGTCAAATGTTAAAAAATAATAAATTAAAACACACTTATGGCCAAACAGGACACAATTAACAGGACAAAACAAACATCGAACTTTAAAATAGGGATTTATAGGCGCTACAGTATACAAAAAAAGTCCAATTCCTCTCCTAGCAAGTAATGTAGCGTCTATAAATCTCTATTGTAAAGTTTTATGTTTGTTTTGTCCTGTTAATTGTGTCCTGTTTGTCCATAAGTGTGTTTTGATTTATTATTTTTTAACATTTGACATCACAATTCTCTTCCTAGCAGAAATTAAATGGTTTTCAATCAAAAGTTTATAATTACAAATCAAGGAAATTGCACACCCACAAAACAGTACAAGTACTTCCATTCATCGTCATATAACTGTCCTCTTTCTTTATAAAAAAATTTCAATAATTTAACACACATTTCAAAATATATCTCTTCAATAAATATAAATAACTATAATATTTTAAATATTATAAAACATCACATTTTCTTTCACAACAATAACATATACCCTACTCCTACATCATCTGTTAACACCCATCCCCTCAAGAAACTTCCTCCTAAGTTGTTAGACAGTTACAACTTTGATCGAAGATCACTTATTATTAGTAATAAAGGAAAGGTTGAACTATGAATCACCAATCACTATATAGTAATTCTTGTACCGGAATCATTTAATTTACTTTGTACCACCGACCTGATGATGCTTTGCAAATTTTAGAAAGCGAAACCGGTCGTCTGAGGTAGTGAAATTAAATTGATTTTGAGTAAGTCTAATTATTTCTTTTTTACCTTTTTAAAATGGACTCACATAAGCAACACATTCATAATTTTGTTATTGTTAAAAATCATAGGATCCTTCATTACCTCTGACCAACATTGACTAATGGTGGTGGTGGTCTGGAATATTTTTCAATGTGATCTTCCATCAGCAAAGGTGTATCGTCACTTATCATTGTCCCTGTCGTATTATCGTTGGCGTCTAAAGAGAGAAGTCTCCAGGCTGCTGCTGGAGAAAATCTAGGAATTTCTAATTGTTTCTTGGGTAATATAGGTCGCAATTGTAGGTCTATCCCTGATCTACAAATATCGTGTTCATCAGATTCAATGTCGCTGGATATATCTGATTCAGAAGAATGTTGTACTCTAATATTTGTGTTGAAGTTTTCAAATACTCCATTACGCGGTTGGTTTTCTTCTATATTTTCATCCATACCAAAATAAAAGAGCTGTTTCGGGCGCTTATCTTTAGACAGTAGATCTTTAGAAGTAGGAGATGGAGACATATCCGGAGTGGTAGACTCCTTTCCAGACGCTTCATCTCTAGTACAGTTTATCATGGGGTTTTTACACTGCCGGTTTTCAATTTTTTCCATTAATCTTTCTTTCAAATCTTTGCTACTAGAAATATTCGGATCGAGAGTCTGCAACTTTGTTCTATTACTACTACTGGGTTCTGGTTTACACTCATCTACTTCTACGTGTCTTAATCTGTTTGTTGCATCTTTAAGCTCTTTGTAAAAGTCATTGGAGTCGATCAGCTTAACCTCTGGCAAGGAGAGTCGCTTAGATTTTTCGTTGGCTTTAGTAGTATTATTGGGACTGGCATATTCGTCTGAGGTTTCATTTAAATGACTAGATTTTTTTTTCGTTTCCGCTCTGGTTTTAAATAACCTTGCTTTTCTAATGGGTAGACCAGGATTAAAATCTTCTTTTCCAGATGATTGCTTGTCGCTGCCCTAAAATTCATTAAAACAATTAACAAATTCATAAAATATAACGCAACTGTAATAATTGATGCAGATAGTGCAAACTTGGACATTATATTACGTATTTTAACGCATAAGATTTTAAAGAAGATCACTTACCACCATATACTTTCGTGGAGGAGAAGGTGCTTTGTACTTTTTCTTTGATTTCTTGTCTCTATAATCGTGATTACCATGCATCGGCGTATACCTTAGATCGGGTTCTGATGCAAACGATTTTATCTAAAATATCAACGATTCATGATTTACCATACATAATAGTAACTATATAATTTACCTGTTGACTAGAAACATTATTATTGAGCTTATGTTTGACTCCCTGGTGAGCGATTTTGCGGGAACTGTCCTTCTCTCTCATCAACTCTCTTCCATCGTTGGAACTACTGTCGTCAAAAGGTGCACTACGTTCTCTCACCTGATGGAAAAATATAGGAATAAATTAAAAAACATTTATATGGTATTCACTAATCTAACCAAAGAAGATGATAAAATTTCTCGAGAGGTTCTGTGGTAGGCTCTTAATAAGATATGGGTCCCCGGTGAGTATGTGAAGAATGTGAGAAATATATATATATATATATATATATATATATATATATGAGTTCACACTTATTCTAACAACTTGTATTAGAATAGATGTGAAGGAGACTGATCAATTTAACGTGAAAAAAGGATTACATCGGGACTCAGCGCTTAGTTTCTATTTAATCTCATTTTTGGTGTATTAGATACCAGGAAAACTACTAGGTAACATTCTCGCGTGATTAATGTATACTGATGATGTAGTAAAAAGGATTTAGAGTAAAGATTTGACTATTGGAGACAAGCCAGTGGCGGATACAGAAAAAACTCAAGAAGTGGGCGCTAAAGATGTCTTGGGCTACCTTTACTTTTATCGTAATAATAAGATAATACGAAGATTAAGAAGGCCTAATTTAAACTCATTATACACATATACAAGACATTGCGATCTTATGATAAAAAAGTTACAATTGTGTACATCTTCTGAATGTAAACTAGCTTCCGATTCAGCAAATAGTCCGTCTTTATAACGCTGCGTATCGAAGATTCTCTGTACAAGAAAACACTAGAATATTTGTGACTTTGCTGGAACCAATGCAAAACAGAATAACGTATTGAAACCACTAGAATGAGTGATGATACGGACCAGCGTGCTGCATAAGACAGTACAATTATTCAATAACTCAACTCACGGACTCGCTAGAACCGACTAAAGCATGATACCTGATACTCATTATCATGCATGATACTATGACTAAAATTTTAGTTATAGTATCATGGACTAAACAAAGAAACGAATGAATAAAGCCGAAGGCTCACTGGCTTGGGCAGTATTGAAGATGGAAAAGCAGGAGGGGGTATGTAAAGGAGGTAGTGAGGCGCAATACATTATACCGTATTCTGTTGGCATCACTTAGCCTATCCTACTCAATTCCTATCTTCATCTCTAAGTTGGTACACGCCGGTAACTTGAGCAACCCCACTGGAGATTAGGTAGCCAACCTCCAGTGGAAGGTGGGGTCAGGGCTGACGAAGAAGGGAGTCTTGGTAATCCGACGAATAGGGGGTTAGGCTGAAGGTTAACTGCCTTCTCTTAGAAAAACTATGAGTTATAAACGTTCAAGAAAGAAAAGCCGGACTGATCAAACGACGACGACTGTGCGAGAAAAAGGAACACGATTTGAAGGTTGCGACATGGAATATTCGAACCTTATATAGATTGGGAGCTCTCAAAAATCTCCTAAATGCAGACATAACTGCCATACAAGAAATGAGGTGGGTTGGAAACAATGTAATGGAAAAAAGAAAAAGATACGATTTTCTATAGCTGCGATCCTAAAGATCATGTCTTGGGCACAGGATTCATAGTAAACAAGAGAGTAAAACATACTATAAGAGATTTCAGAGCCATTAGTCCAAGAATGTCACTACTGTAGTGACAGTGCAGTGAATAGTGAACAGTGTAGTAGTGTCTGGGGGCTCGGGAGACTGAGACCTCGGAAGCCCTGAGGAAGGCATCAGAGAGGATGCCGAAAGCTCGGCAAAATGGATATCGACGCGGTTCAATCCGGAAGACTGGTGAGTTTGATATTAATTTTAGTAATAATATTAATCTTAGCTCTAGGTTTCATATATATATATATATATATATATATATATATATATATATATATAATATATATATATATATATATATATATAACGGTACAAAAGAAAATGGAATTTGGCGAAGAAGATACAACTTTGAACTATACAAAATATACCAGGATCCGGATATTATAACATTCATTAAAATAGGATGGCTGCGTTGGATAGGACATGTAGAAAGAATGGAAGAAGGCGAAATATCAAACAAAATATTCAAACAGATGCCAGTACGAAAAAGAACAAGAGGAAGACCGAAGCTGAGATACTTAGAAGAAAGAGAAAATGATATAACAACCTTAAAAATAAAAAAAGGACGAAACAGATCAGAATGGAGAAGAATCCTGGAACAGGCCAAGACCCAAAAAGGGTTGTCGAGCCAGTAATGATGATGAAAGAGGGGGGGGCGCCGCAAACCCTCATCCATTGAGTCTCGCCACTGAGACAAGCTCGTGAAGAAAAAGCACAAAAATCTATAGCATGAGTCCCTTAAATGTCCATTTAAATATTTTGTTGCTACTACAAATAAGATGATAATTTTGAATTGTGAAATGATTGAGGAAAGTAATAGTTTGATGTACGTAGGATCGGTATTAGAGAGTAATGGGAAAAGAGATTGAGATGCATGGACCATAGTTAAAGCGGGATGGGCGAAATTGAAGGAGGCAGATGTTGTATTGTGTAACAGAAAGATTCTAATGAAACTAAAATGCACATTCTATAAATGCTATAATTCCAGCTACGATGTACGGAACTGAATGTTAAAAAGAAAGAAGAACAACAAATGCATCGGGCGAAAATGAAAATGCTTAAATGAATGAATGTAGTTTAGGTGTGGCCAATTAATTCCAAAATAAAAAAAGAATATCTAAAGAATATGAGATGGTTATATCATATTCAATATAGACATATTAATCACCCAATACGACGAATTACTGAATAATATGAAAGAAAAATTGGTAGAAGACGTTTAGGCAAGATATGTCTGAGAAGAAGATTCATTTTAGTGTGAGCTAAGATAGACACACAATTTTAATAAGGGAAGCTGACTTAACAATTCAAACTACTGACTCAATCGTTGATTCTAAAAATAGAATGAATACGAAGATTTATGAAAATTACTAATGAAAATTACTTACACATTTTTCCTTAATTTCGTCCGTAAACTTGGCATGTCTTCCGCTGATGGTGCCACCGGAATGTAGTATCTCTCCATTATTAGTCGACCTAAGTTTTAAATGAGCGTTTCTTTCTGGCAGTACCTTGTGTTGGAAATTGTGTTTTGGTTGTGGATGCTGCGTCCTTGGGAACGAGTGGACCCATTGTTCGTTTGGTTGTACTTCTGTGACCGCTGGATACTGACTCCCACTATTGCCCATATCACTATTTGGTCCTTAGCTGGGTCATATTCTGAAAACGAATAAACCTTTTTACCATTTTTTTACAATTTTTTTCTGATAACTATCTGATAAGCTCCAAATAGAGTAAAATATAATATGGTGTTGCCACAAATACATAAATTTAGAGAGAAATTTGATGTTATATCTTCTAGATATATAATACGCTGCCCTCTATAAATCTTGTTCCCTTACTGCCAGTTTTCTTTTATGCATCCTATTTTTCTTCTTCCTGTTAGTTTACTATTTATTACACTCGGGAACAATTTAGATGTTTAATATTATACACACAGAAGTAAGGAGGAAGATCAGATATGCAAAGGAAAGATGGTATACCAGACAGATGCGAAGAGAGTAAACAGTTGGTAGAGAAACATGATAACTTAAACCTTCACAGAACAATTAGGGAAATAAAAGGTACTAATATTAAGAAAAAATTAAACATACTGCTGGATAAAAACGGTAAAATAATTATAGACGTCGGTCAAAGGCTTAAAAGATGGCAGGAATATATTCAAGAGCTATTTAAAGACGAACGGATTGAGATAGTACTAGAGCAGGAAAAGTTCGACAACAGCCCAGACATAGCAGAAGATGAGGTATTAGAGGCGATAAAGCGAACAAAGAACAACAAGGCAACAGGTCCTGACGAAATACCTGTAGACATAATACGGTTAATAGAACAGCAAATTGGAATATTGGTCGACTTATTCAATACAATATACAGTACAGTAATCATTCCCAGAGATTGGCTGATGTCAATATTCATAACACTACCAAAAAAAAAAAATGCAAAAGAATGCGAAGACCATCGGATAATAAGTTTAATGAGTCATACGCTCAAAATATTTTTAAAAATTATACACTGGAGAATACACAACAAACTTGAGCAGGACATAAGTAACACACAATTTGGATTTAGAAATACACTGGGAACGAGGGAAGCCCTGTTCGCTGTGAATGTACTTGTGCAAAGGTGCATGGATGTTAATCAGCCAGTATATATGTGTTTCTTGGATTAGAACAAAGGTCAGACATAACCGTCTTATCGAATTACTTGAAAAGAAAAACTTAGATATGAGAGACATTAGCATCGTTAGCGTTATCTATTATAATCAGGTCGCTGTGCTAAAAGAGAACAACGTCTTTTCAAATGAAATACAGATTGAGAGGGGCGTCAGGCAGGGCTGTGTCCTGTCTCCTACTTTGTTCATCTTGTATTCAGAGGAAATAATCCAGGGAGCACTAGAAGAACTAACTATGGCAATAAAAGTAAATGGCCGACCAATCAATAATATATGGTTTGCCGACGACACTATTTTACTAGCGGAATGTCTTGAGGATTTACAACAAATGGTTGACAGAGTGGAAAAAGTCAGTGAAGTAAACGGACTGTCCCTAAACACAAAAAGACACCATTTGTGGTAATTACAAAAGCCCAACAGCGCCAAGAAAACAATACATGGAGAATAAATTAAAAAAGTTGAAAAATATAAATATCTGGGTACAATATTTAATGAAAATAATGAGTACACAGAAAAGATTAGGGCAAGAATAGGACAGGCAAGAAATTCTTTCAACAAACTGAAAAAAGTAACCTGCAGCAGGGACATTTCAATTTCTTTAAAGATAAGAGATGCTATGTGTTCTCCGTATTATTTTATGAGTTGGACATTATAGAAAGAGGTTTCTGACAAATTAGAAGCCTTCGAGTTACGGGCCTACAGAAGGATATTAAGAATAAGTTGGGTGGATAGAGTCACGAACGTCGAGGTGTTGAAAAGAATGGGAAAATATAAAAGGTTTTAAATACAATTAAAGTCATAAAACTGCAATAACTGAGACAGGCCATGAGGGACGAGCATTATAACTTGTTGCAATTAAGAATGCAAGGAAGAATACAGAGTAGAAGGAGTCGCGGAAGAAGACACATCTCCTGGTAAAACAATTTGAGAGCTTGATTTAACTGCACTTCTGCTGTCCTCTTTAGAGCAGTGGTATCGAAAGTGCGAATTGCCATGATGGTTGCCAACATTCTTAGAGGAGATGGCACATGAAGAAGAAGAACAATTTAAAAATTAAATTATGCTGGTTTCAAAACTGTAATTAGTTTTTATTTACCACGTCAAGTTTTTTTCTCTACCCCACAATCTACCATGGATCATAAAAAGCACTATTGCACAGTTAGGCTACAAATAAGCAAGAACCTACAAACTCACAATGAGCATCTGGTAGGAAAAACTGTAGAAGAAAATCGACATACAAATCAGATAATAACAAAATTAAACGAACAATGCCAAATTACTGCCTTGGACGATCAAGATTGAAAAACAGAACAGCACCAAGTAAACATAAAAAATAACGAAGGATTTCATAGAAAATTCTATAGAGCAAATATAGGATACACCAAATAGAGTTAAACACTAATGAAAATTTTTGACCGTAGCTTGGAAGAAGTTCCAGAAATAACTATAGATGAAATAGATTGCGCTCTGACTCAAAAGAAAAATAATAGAACACCAGACGAGGTTCTCTGATTCTACCAAATATTGATGCATGGTTGAGTTTATGTTTTTTATGGTATCTACGTTTTGTTGTAAATATTTTCAAAATATTTTTTACAATCTTCTAATTGCAGTATATTCATCGATTTAGATTTATTTCATCTGATGTATGTTTCGCAATTATCACAAATATATTTTTTGTAGCATTGCCCATCTATGCGTATCTCCACTTTCGATAATAAGTGTAACTGACAGGTAGATTTCATTATATTATGTTAATGATATTCATATAGTATTATTGTTAACTTGTCTCGACAATGCAGGTGATTGTATGAACAACATTCCGTATCTATATGTTCTTGTAGTACATTTGTTAATGATAAAAATAAATAAGATGTAGAAAATTACCGCAAGGGATATGCTTGCATGTATTTAGTGAAACTGATTGTTTTAAATATTTTAAATATTTTAACAAATCATTTAATTGAGGGAAAGTTATAATTCCAACAACGAAGATGTCTCAGTTTATCTCTAAGATTAATATTATTTTTGAAATTAATTTAATGGACATGGATGTTATTTTCATATGGACCTAAGGACATTTATATTGGACAGTTGTATTACCAATACATGCAAATGAAAAGCGAAGGTTTTCAAAGTTAAAAAGATATGTAAAAAATCGTATCACTTTTTTTGTTGGAAGGAAAAAACACCAACACGTCACTTTAAACAGGAATATATGACTTGTTAAAGATCTTATAGATATATTTCACTAGATCGTTAACAACTGATTAAAATTAAGGAAGCTTTTAAAAAACAGTGAATTAAACGTACTTTTATACCTAGTTCTAGGTGTTTATATGTCATCTAAACCTCTGGTATTATAAGAATGAATATTTTTGTTGAAAGAAATGAATTTTTGAAAATATTCAGGTGATAAACCATTTACTATTTTGAACACCAATATTGAGTGTTATTGTTATTATTTTATCAGTACATACTTATCACTACAATTTAGAAACAATAGAATTTGTAATTTTATTCTATTTTAGCACTAATGATTTGTATATTTCTCTTAATGAATGTAAAACACATTATCCGTTAAAATCATATTTTTACTTGTCTTCGACGGTACTACAAATATTGGGGGAATTTGCTATTAACTTTCTCAGTACATCGGACCACTTAAGTCAAAGCTTTCATCTCTAATCCAAAATATAGTCGCAAATTCGTGAAATATACTATAGTAAAGGTTGTTACCACTATTCCGTGTTTATAATTTCCTTAAAATGAACTATAGGAAGATAAAACGGTCTAATAATACCACAATAAAAGAAAGAAAGTTTTACAGGAAATGGGTAATAGTACGTGTGAAACTGACAGGAAGAGCCGAACCCTCTAACACTAGAAATATACAAGAATATGCTAATGCGGTTATTAGAGTGTTATGAATTACGACGTAATTAGAGAGATTCTTACGTAATATAGTACGGGGGACATTGTAGTAACATAATATGTAATAAAATTTACATTTACATTACATTACATACAGTATTGTAGTGAATAGGTGATGAATCGATTATTATTTAAAATAATATATTCATGTTAATTGGAGATAATATTAATAGTAAACTAAACGTTAGATGGAATACTTACTGTTTAGGAATATTATCATGAGGTTTTTCCTTGTAGATTGTAAAAGATTTTCTTTAGAAACCATCTGATCTTCTATTTATTAATGATACCTACTCTAGAATTCTGGAACCCTGTATCAGCTTGTACATGCCTAGTGGATTGGACCATATGTTTTTGAGTCATCTAGTTGTCTCCAAAAAGTGTTTGCCGTCTGACATCTAGTCTAAAATACGATTGACTGTCTCATATTCTCCGATACAGAATCTCCATCCAAGTCACTTCTGCCCTTAACTGGCCCTCGTCCAGTAAGAAAGCGTGTTACAATTCTGAGCTGATTCCCTCCAATATGTATTTTGCTATGTGCTTGAGAAGTATACTTTTCCAGTGAGTGATATATTATGATCGAATACACTATTTTTTCCGGTAAGCACTATCTCAAAGTATTTTCTAGCTGATCTTTTTGGCAAGTTTATCAGCTCTTTCATTGTTGTGTATTCACCGATGACATGACCATGACCTGGCACCTACACCAGTGTAAACTCTAAAAGTCCTTCGAGGTTATCAAGGTTTTCTCGACATTATCACACTAGCCTACAGTCTACCTCTAGGCTACCTTAGGACTCCTAACAGCCCCCATAGTCACTTGACTATCTGTGCATATATTCATCCACTTAACACATTCGCTGCTTATCGAAGCGGATGGAACTCGGCTAGGAGCCATTTTTTTTTAAATTTAATACAGTTATTATTGCTTAATATTTTGCTTTTACGGTATTATTATCATTATCTTACAGATTTTCATAATTCTGTCAAATTCTTTTACAGCACGTGCTAGCGCGTGAT